AGCGCGTTCCGAAAAATTGCAAAGGACACTTTCGCCCTGACCCATGAAATCGTTGTAACGTAGCTCTCTTGCTTTTTTGCAGATAATAGCTCGGCTAATCTTGAGTGGTACCTCAGGCATTCGTCAGCCATATCATCCCCTCCGTCGTTGTAAATACTAGTGGGGTGAAAGTGCCTTGCTCTACTCCTGTTGCACGAGAGTTGTATTTTCGCTTCTTTTCATTTTCATGAAACCTGTAAATCTGCTTGGGGCTAAGATCACTGTATGAGTCTGCATTGGGATGAAACACCCTTATATCGAAAAAGCAGCCCTCTGTCGCTCCCAGAAACCCCTACAGCGGACGTCGAAGCGTGCGTCAGGGGCTTACTTAGTCCCTCTGCGAAATTCTTTGCCTGTAATATGTAGTAAAGCCGGTTCCACCTGCACATCGTAACAAACCATGTCAAGCAGCTCGGCCTGTAGATCGCGCATTTCATTGTGATGCTGAATGACTAAGCCTCCATGCTGGCAGATCATCTTGTGATCCACTGTAAACAAAGTCCCACAAACGCATACTGATGGGTTATCGGGTATTGGCCAATCATATCGAAGCCTCACAGCGTCTCGAAATTCCCCCTTGTTGAGATCAAAGTTCATGTCTTTGAGAGGAATAACTGTAATAATAATGATATTATTACAGTTATTCCTCTATACTAATAATAATAATAATAATAATAGTAATAATAATAATGATAATGGTAATTTATGACAGAATGATTGACTTGAGCGCATGGTTCACTGGTGCATAAAAAGAGCACCAGCAAAGACTGTGATAGTAATAATAGTACTAATAATAACAATAGAGCATTAGTAACGGGATGATAACCTGAAGAGTGTTCTCCATCTATTTTTTTTAAAACGCCAAAAGGTACATTCAACCCAAAATCTTTCAGAGGTAAGTTTCTCGTTGCATTCATGCCGATCGCCTTGGGTCCCATATGCCTTCTGGATATGTTTTTATCAGCAAAGGGGAAGATAAGTATAATATGTCGTGGATACACCAAGTTTGAATGGGTTTTGAGGATAACTAAGTTCCTTTTACAAAAACATACACTTTTACATGTGAACATAGGCAGCTGATGGGTAACTCTCGAATAGAGTTGACACTACTTTGAATTACTTTGAACTGCTGGGGTGATGTTGGGGGGAGATGTCAGAATTTACATTTTGGCTATCGGTCAGTACAAAACTGCAGACTGTAGATCGCAAAAGGAGTACAAAATGTAGACTAGTACAGAATGCAGACTACGGACTGTAGATTGAGAATTTAAAAAACGTTTTTACGTCGGATACGTGACATCATCTTACAACTTACCAGGTGTACGCAATCGCTTTTCCGCGATCATCTTTAACCATCATTTGCACTATTGTGGAATATTTCTTGCCCGTTTCATCGTTTATTTTGTTTAAGCTTACGATTGACTCGCACTTTGCTGATATCAGTGCTCATAGGTTCCCTTATAAACTCGATCAAAGTTTCGCTCAAAGTTTCGCTGGTAAGATTGAATCGTAAAAGGCCCACTACTCATAAACCCCCTTATGAACCTGGAGGATCGACGCGGCCTCGAGGGGTCCACACCCACTGTTATACCTTTCAAGGAGCTTTGACTCGGTTACACATGTGCTGACCGCGACGAGTATTAATCGAAACTCCCTCAAAGAAAAGTCGAATTATATTTCAGTATTATTTCCGAAAGTCGATATTAATTCACCTTTTTTTTTTTTAAGCCGAGCGGTCACGTGGTTTGAGATGGCAAGCAAGAATTCAAAATGGCTGCTTAAGTATGAGCCGCAGAGGACATCTCGCCGAAATGTTGATATTCACGGATAAATCAGCACTGAAATGACTGAAGCGATATGGAAATCGGTGACAATGGAAATTGAGTCTTAAACTGAGATTACAAAACAGCCTCTAGCTGGAAAACAAACTTGTAAGCACACGATCTTTCTAAATCGCAAAAATGCATGAAACGGGCACAAAAGGGAAGGAAATGTATTACTAAAAGACCGTTTACATGATTTCATGATTTGAGGTTAGAATGAAGCTATATTTTTCTCGTGAACTGTAAACTAAGTTTCTTTTTTTGTTTCGCGATAGTTGGTGCGCTCTGTGTTCCAAAGTGATATAATTTCTCATGTCTGAAGCTCGATCATGTTCAACACAGAGGGGTTCAGAGTAATGCAGATGTTGACACTTAAAAATTGCGTGCGGTCGACTGCCGGTCACGGTCCTCAACTAACTAAATGACCAGCGGTAGGAAAAATAAAGGAGTGGGGGGGGGGGGGGGGGGTGGTGAATGCCGTTCAGTGTCCAAGTGAAAATTCCGGGGAACTTGCATAGTGCTAGACATTTGCATTTCAATGAAACTTCATCCTAATCACACGACGAAAACTTTCAAATATTCTCCAGTTGACGGTTTTGAAAGGTTTCCCTTCCCAATGAGTTTAGAGACTTCCGTCATGGATTTGAGCAAAATTAATGGCTCCCGACAGGGTATCACTCTCGGGATTCTGTCGCAGCCGTGTAAATAGCATTTTTAGTGCGTAACTTTGCACACTTTGAAATGCCATCGAAATACGCCGTAATCTAAATAAATGGACTGGAACTCAATCGTCTGCTTTATGTTCACAGCATACTTTCTAATAAATTTGAATTTGGAATAACGGGATATATTTTAGCTGACTCCTTTACTTCTGAGGGTTTTTTAGACATTTGACCCTTTCTCGTGATCATGCTCTGGTTGATAAGCTCCCCCGAATAAAGTTTCTTATTATTAATGCGACTTACAAGTTTCATCAGTACATGAAATATTCATCCCTGAAAATATGACAAACCACATGAAAAATGAAAGGTTATGTTAGGGACAGTTTGCCCCTCCGGTCTCCCCCTGTGCAGATCACATGACCTTAGCGACCATGTGCTCAAATCGTTGTGCGGTGTTTGTGCGTAGTAAGGTTTGCTTTTTTGTCTTTTGATGTTGATGTTCTGTTTAGCTTGGAGATGGCCAAAAATATGTAAGTTGTCGCTTTATGTGTTATTCTTTTTCTTGTAATTCAATATCTGTTTCAGTTTCGAAACTAGCTTTCTGTTTTATGTAATTTGTAGCGGTACCGAATGAGAAGATCGCGTTCAGATTAAACATCTCCAGTTCAGAACATTTAGTCTGAGATTATCTTCAACAGGTTAGTTAAGCAATACATCACACTTTCTCTAAGTTTACCTGCGTACTGTTGGAAGAACACGAGAAAAGTTTGTAAATGAAGAGGCGAGTTCTTCCAGCATTCAAGGTGTGTTATTATGCTGGTAAACCGATAGAAAAGGCGGTCTATATATGCTACAAAATAACTATGGGTTCACCGGTGGAATCATCGTTAGGGTTTCGACCAATTCTCGTGCTCTTAGTTTCTTAGTTATTTTATAACTTACAGTACACCGCGTTCAACCAAAAGTTTGTTAACATGAAAAAGTGAGCAATTAATCCAGCTTCAGTCTAATCTCGTAACCAGATCCTATATTGTTGGAAGGTCTGGGTATGAGACTAATATCAGTCTGTACTATTGGCCCTGAGTAAGCATTTTCTTATTGCGTAAACCCTTTGTTAAATAGATACTGATCTTCCATATATAAGGTGGCTTGATACTTTAAGAAAACTTGATTTTTTTCCAAGACAAGAGTGAATTATTTAATAACAAAATAGGCCTTGTATAGAAATTAATTTAAGAGCGGATAAATAAATCCGCAGTAAAGGTGAAGATTTCAACATGATTCTGATGACTTCAAAGCCCATTCTACCGGTTGAGCAGTCTTATTGTTGGGCGAAACGTGGATGCGAGTCACCCACTGTTGTAACTTGAGACAGAATGGAGGAGACAGTGGTAAGACACATATTATCATGATGGACCAGTCGTTATAAGTCGCTAGGGGGAGGGGTGGAGGACATGTTTTTGGGGGAAAGGGAGTCATATGGTTTACTTTTGAAGTTTTGTCTGTCTAAAGAGCTCTAAAACTTCACTGGTCTGATTTTCAGACATATTACATCCTTTTCATTTGTGGCTACTGCTTCCTATAGGAGGCGAAGCCACACATATTTTCGCAACGAGTGAGTAATTGACTGAGTGAGTGAGTGAGTTTAACGATAAAATTCAAATCTTGACCCACTTTTGACCCGATGTTGCCCTCTTGTTGTTCTTTTTTTTTCTTTTTCCGAGTACCTTGGTAGTTTGACATTCGCACTTAATCACAGTTGAATTCCTTCCTTTGGTGATTTCTGGCTTAGAGCTATTAGCACATTATTTTTTTAGTTCTTGCCATGAAACTAAGGAAGGCAGCTGAAGACGATAAGCAGTTTGCAATAATTTCAGGAGATTAAGATGTGTTTGTGATTGACATACGAATCAATCAGTGAAGTCTTGGTCGAAAGATCTTAGGATGATGTTACCGCCGCCAAAATTTGGAAAGTGGGAAGAATTCGCTCCAGTGCGACCCAACCCGGAGATATACCTCATTAGAAGTGATCTGCACACTATGTAAGCTTTCAGGAAATTTTTTTGCTGAAAAGAGAGCATTTCACTGTTTGAATCAGCGACTTTAGCCAAAAAAGGCCGTTAAATTAACGAAGCGAGCAAGCTGCTAGATATAACTTGATCATGGGTTATACAATGGAATGATGGAACTGAGAAATGGTAGATCGGCGGAATGGCGGAATATAAAACAGCAAATATTTCTTGGCACAAAATATCGTAATTTAGAGATATGGCGGAATATAAACCGGAAAACGTTACTTGGCACAAAATATCGTAATTTTAGTGATCAGTCCATCATTACATGGACTATAGGGTGTTTCAAAAACAGATAATTGTCGATTGTTTCATTCGTATTTAAAAGTCAAGTCACTCTCGTATTATGTGAGGGGGGNGGGGGGGGGGAGGGAGGGAGAGAGACATCAGATTACTGTTAGGAGTCATTTAATATTTCTCTTAGTAATATAACATACAAAGCTCTAAAAATCCACTGGTCTGATTTTCATCTCAGCCCTCTTCAAAGAGGAGTTGACTCCTTTCCAGCTATTCCATGCGACTCCAGGACCATTAGCTGAGGTATTTCGATAGACACCATTCAGGTTTGACATATAACAGCTATAATACCACCACCCTCCTTTATATATCTCAGCACAGTTTGGGTGAGCGCTGTCATTGTCCTGATCTTTAGTTGTAAAGGAATAGCCCTGATGTTGTGTGAGAGAGTCGCTAGCAGTTCCTAGGATGGGGAAAAACTTGAAATCAACCCCTAAGAGACATTCACAAAGACGTCATGCAATCCAACCTTAACTTAGCAAAGACACAAAATTCCCGTCTCCCTCCGTCGAGAAAATTAAATCGAATTACAGTTTTGAAAAGTAAATGCTTATTCAGAGTCATCATACATGATACCGATGGAGTTCGCTACATTGCTTTTAACTTGGCACTACGAATACACAGCGTTACAACTGTAAGGAACTTGCTAGATCGATAGTGTCGTAAATCTACTCTCCTAGGAAAGAGTGATACTAATTAAGAGTATTATGAAGTAAATTTACTATCTTGATTATCGAATAAAATCCATTTGAATTAGAGGAATGAGAGTGATCACTTAACCTATGAATATTCTAAAACAGATATACAATTTGATAAAAAAAACTTCTAAGTTGTTTTTTTTTTTAATCTACCTTGACCTAACTAGAATTGATCAATTTAAGAGAATTGCTTTTATTTGGCTAAGAACATTTACCTGAATATGTCATGACGCTCAACTGGTATTTTTTGCTTTCGTCCGCCACTGCAAACCTGGCGTACTCAGCGTAATAAGTATAGCCGTCAAAATCTTCAAGATCGACCCGAAGCTTGGTCGTGGGTTTTGTTAGGCGGTGCATTTTGTCCAGTCCGAGCCAAAGCTCGCCATTCAGATCGCCAAAGCCATTTTTGTAGTCAGACCAGCCGCGGTCAAAATCAACAGAGCCATCAAGTCTCTTTTGGACCACTGTCCATCCCCCTCCGGCAGTACTTTGGTCACAAAACACTTCAGAGTCAGGTCCAATACCATCTGGATTGATTGTATAAACACCGCTGGTTATTCTACCAGATTTGTATACCTCGGCACAGTTCTTATGCACTAATAAAAAAAAGATTAACGATAATAATATTGAAAATAATGACAATAATAATAGTAATAATAGTAATAATAATAATAGTAATAGTGATGATAATAATAACAATAATAATAATGATGATAATGATTACCATGAAAATAATAATAACAATAATAGTAACAATTGACCACCTTGTCTCCGGATGCCCAAAACGTGCCATGACAGAGTATATACAAAGACACAATTAAGCTGCAGCGTACCTCCACTGGACAATATGCAAACACTAAAACATCAAAGTGTAAGATAAACACTACGAACATGAACCATCTACTGTGACAGAAAACCAAGCAGTGCCTATACTCTGCGACATGCCAATCCAAAATGATAAAGAGATCAAAGCAAACAGACCAGACATAGTGGTAAAAGACAAGGAGGAGAGAACTTGTATACTCATCGATGTGTCTATCCCTACAGAAAGGAACACCTCCTTGAAAACAGCAGAAAATCTCTTTAAGTACAAAGATCTTGAAATCGAAATCGAGAACACATGGGGAATAAAACAACAACCGTCCCAGTGATCACTGGAGCTCTTGGGCTTGTTAAGAAGGGAATAGAAACCTACATTGGCAAGATCCCAAGCAATATCAGAATAGCAGAGCTACACTGAGAAGACCGTTCTCCTCGGAACTGCACTTATACTGAGAAGGATTCTATCCATCAAGACTTATGATTGCCCTGAGCTCATGGATTGAACTCGGCACCATAAGAAAAACAAGCAAAACTTTAAGGAAGTATGATAATAATGATAATAATAATACAGTAGAACGCTAAAACCACATTCAACCAGATCTCATCCTGAGGCAAGCTTCTTGATAGATGCTATTTGCCCTGGGTCCCCGTGTGCTTTCTGGATTTGGTTTCAGTAGCCAAGGGGAAAATAAGTCTAATAAATCGTGGATACATCACGTTTGAATGGGTTTTGAAGATAATTTAATTCCTTTTTACAAAAACATACACTTTTGTATGTAAACATTAGCAGCCAATGGGTAACTCTCGGATAGAGTTGACACCACTTAGAACTACTTTGAAATGCTAGACTGATGTTGGATAAATAGTCAGAATTCACATTTTAGAGTTCGCTTAGTGCAAAGCTGCAGACTGCAGACCACAGACCAGGTAAAAAATGTAGACTAGATATAAAATGTAGACTGTAGACTGTAGACTGCAGACCGAGGATTTTAAAAACTGTTCTTTAGTGGGATACGTAACATCATCTTACAACTTACCGAGTGTTACGCAATCGCTTTTCCGCAATCATGTTTCACGATCATTTCTACTATTGTGGAATGTTCCTTGCTGATATGAGTGCTTATAGGTTCCCTTGTAAGTTCGATCAAAGTTCGATCAAAGTCAGATTTAGTCGTTAAGGGCTCACTACTTACAAACCCCCAGAGAGCTTGGAGGATCGACGACAAAACGTCTCGCGGAGTGTTCACTTATAGTCAAAATTTTCAAGGAGTTTTGACTCTATTACACATGTACTGACTGTGACGAGTATTAATTGAAACTCCCTCGAAGAAAAGTCGAATTATATTTCAATATAGAAATCGAGGCGAGACGAAGACAATTCATTCGTGCAGATCATTAAAACACAAATTTATATAACTAGAAGTTAAAGAGATATCGCACGCCGCCTGACTTCTGAGGCTTTGAATCTTCAGGGTATTTATGAAAAGACAAATCCAAAGTTGAGGAAATATTGTGCCAGTTTCAGACGCAACGAAAGTGAACTATATATATACGCTTCGCAGTTAATTTACAGGAGCCGCGACTGTTGTTTACCCATTTCAGACCACGTGACCTATTTAGGCCGTATGAGGCCTGAATCAGGTCTAGTGGTAGCCCGTTACATCTGAGTGGGTGACAAATTTGCATATTGTAACTCGTGAGGGTATTAGAAAACATCAAAAAAAACTTATTTTAATTTATTTTATTTAATCTTTTTTTAAACACGATCAATTCATCAGCCTATAAAAATACATATCACATTCGCTAAGATATTTAAAATTAAAACTACATACTATAACACTAAAGCTGTTTTCCGTGAATGCCGGGCGTTAGACTTAAAGAAGGTCATTGATCTTACGTTTAAATAACCCCAGAGACTCTGTTCCTTATATCGCGTGGTAGACTGTTCCATAATGTGGCGCCATTGTAGCTAAAGCTTTTTCTGTAATAATTAGTACGCGGTAGTGGAACATTAAGCTTATTTTAAGAGTCCCTGAGGTCATAAGCAGAGTCACGCCACGTTAACTTTGAATATTGTTACGTGCACGAATGACCAACAAATGTCCGCTTACAAAGCATATATGAAAATAGACTCCCGAGTACGATATATGGCACGCAACAAAAATGTAACAACAAGCAGTTACCCATTTCAACTATTATTTAATTAGTTTTACAGTGTCTAATTGACTTAGGTTAAAGATTAAGTTAAGCAG